AAGCTATCTAAGGACCTTATAAAACTAGTATTTAAGCTATATTATATATCTATTTAGTAGTTTTCTTTATATTATATAACTATCTTAATAGAAAGCCTTTATAACGTAACACTATAGGTAACTTATAGAATTTAATAGAACTTAAAAAGAAGAAGCTAATTAAGTTTATTCTTAACTTAGATTCCTAATTATTTTCTCTTTAGCTTAGTAGTGTTAAAGAAATAGCTAATTAACTACTTACTAACTATAACGTGTTACTAGTTAGTAAGTATTAGGCCTTAAACTTTATTAAATAAACACTAGAGCTCTAAACGTGTTTATTTTAGTAATATAACCATAAAAAAGCCTAATATAAAGATATTAATATAATAAACGTATAGTTCTCTCTTATAGTAAATATAATTATAAAATATAGTATTATAAAGTTAAATATTTATAACTTTAAGAAGACTAGCTTTATAATAAGCTAGATTATATTTAAAATAGTTATTATAAGCTTTAAAAGATATTTAAATATAAAAATAGTATAGCCTAGTAATTAAAAATAAGTTATAGTTATCTAGGCTATTAGTTTATTTAGTTATAGCGTCTTACTATATATTATTATTAAAGGTAAAAATCTTCTCTCTACTTAGTATATAAAATCTAGTCTTTTACCTAACTAGGTTATTATAATATTTAAAAATAAATAAATAATAAATAAAAAAGGCCTAAATTAGCTCTAGTACTTTAATTAATATTTAAAGTTATATATAAAAAGAAAATATTACGTTTTTATTCTTAATAAGTATAAAAGTTACTACTTTATAAATTTTAAGGTATTTTCTTAAAAGAATAATATTATTACCCTCTATATATTACTTTATTCTTTTTATTTACTTTAGTCCTTTAATATAAAATACTTTAGGCCTTTAAAGTTAGTATATAGTTAAGAAATTAAAGATAAAATATAATAAGGTAATACTTATATAACTAAGAATAACTTCTTTCTAGTATTTTATAATAACTTTAAGTAAGCTTTTATAAAAGAAAATATCTAAAGAGGTTTTAAAGGGTTAGAGATTATCTCTTTAAGTATAAAAAGTATACTATTAAAGCTAGATATTAGGTTATATACTTTACCACCTCTAGGTTCTCTCTTAATAACACCCCTAGCTTAAACTTCTTAAACACTATACACTATATTAGAGATAGATTCTTAAAAAAGTTTAATTAAGAATTACTTTATTAACTATTTAAATAGCTTCTTAATATATAGTCTAATAGCTACTAAGTATATTCTTAAAAGAGCACTAAGATATATATATAAAAATACTTTATTAAGAGCTAAGGTTAAAAGCCTTTAAGAGGAGAATAACTTACTTAACTAAGATAAAAGAATAAAGAAAATTTACCTTAAATAAGAAAGAAGTCTTATTATAGCTAATATATAAGATATTTAGTTATAAAGAGAGGCTATAGCTTAGGTATAAGAAGAAATATATTAAAGTAGTAGTTACAGACTAAAGATAAAAATAGGTTAATAGCGTTATAGTACCTATAAGAACACTAGACATAACGTATAAACGTATTAGTTTAATAAAGAGATATCTAAAGTATAGGATTCTAAGTAGTTTAAATTAATTTAACTATATTATTATTAGTTCTTTATTATCTTTATAAGGTATTTATAGTAGGCTACTTACTTTACTTATCTAATTAACTTACTTATTATATATATTAGTAACTTTTAGTAAATAAAAGATATACCTTAAGTAGTATCTTTAAAAAACAACTTCTTTTAATTTATATTACTAGATCTTTAATTTAAAAATTATAGTATCTTTTTATTATAAGCTAAAGAATATAGTATAACTTATTTTATTATAACTAGCCTTACTTTAACAAAGCTAGTTAGCTAGCTAAACCTATAGTTAAGGTATAAGTAGTAAAAAGTAAGGCTACTTACTAAGAAGTAAAAATAAGTTCACCTTATTTAGGTTTATATAAAAATTAAGTTAACTAAGTTAAAGCTAGATTTTAACCTCTTCTTAGTAATAAATAAGAAGCTAGTCTAGTGTTTTAAGTAAAAGAAATACTATAAGTAGTTATATAAGTAAATTACTACTTTAGCTTAGTATTTAGAGGATATAAAGTTAGCAAAAAGTAGTTAGTAGTAATAATAAGTCCTTATTACTACACTATAAATAAGTAGCTAGGTAGTAAGGCTTTTTAATTATATAGCCTTATTTAAGATTTATAAAAAAAGATAATAAGTAATATACTTTTATAAAACTTAAATAAAAGAAGAGACGCTATTTATAGCTATAAAAAAAGATTTATAAAAAAGGTAATCTATATAGCTATAAGAAAAAAGATCTATAAGAAAAGTAATCCTTATAGCTATAAGAAAAAGACTTTATAAAAAGAGTAATCTTTATAGCTATAAAGATTACCTCTTAGAGAGCCTGTTTCTTATAGCTATAAAGAGGACCTCTTATAAAGCCTGTTTCTTATAGCTATATAAGCTAATTAGATAATAGTATATTAGAACAGTAGAAGTGTTAGTAAAATCCTTTTTACTACCTTAATAGAGATATACTAATTTCTTAAGCTAATTAAGAAGACAGGAGGTAACACCCTTATAAGAATAACGCCTTTATATAAAAGCATAACGCCTCCTTATTAATTCCCTAAAAGTAAAATTATATAACTTACTACTAATAATAAGAAATTTATACTTACTAGTAATATTATTTACTTTAGCTTAATAAAGTATAAAAAGGTTATATATAGTATACTAGCCTCTAAGGTTTATAATATATTTACTATTACTAATATTACTTATATAATTAGTACTATACTTATAATAATTACTAACTACCTTAAGTTATTATAAATCTTAATAATCCTTTATACTAATTTATACTCTTTTTATAAGTGTCTTATAAAGCTTAGTACTACTAAGAAAAAGTAACTTATAATTAATATTATAATACTTTACTAGTTATATAAGTAAGATAAGATTTATAAAATCTAATAAATATAAAAATAATAACTTAGTAAATAAATTTATAAAGTTATTACTAAATAAACTACTAAAGTATTTAGTTAATAATAGTTAATTAAAGATATAAATAAATAAATAGGTTTTATATATATAATAAGTTATATATATAAAAAGTATTAAATATTTTTTAGCTTCTTGTTTTTTATTATATTTTTAGGCCTTTTATAAATAACTAGAAAATAAGGATAATTTATAATACTTTAGAAAGTTACTAGTATAATAATCTTAACTATTACCTAGATATTAGTAGTATAAATTAACGCTAATAATAGCTAGAATAACTATAGTTAATTTACTATAAAATCTTCTAGGGATTTTATAGTGATTTCTTTATAGATCTACTAGATCTATAGGTATATTATGTAGTAAATTCACTACGTAATCTTATAATAGTTTTCCTCTAGACGTTTAATTTAGAAACTGGTATTTACCCCTATTATTTGTTACTGCCTATTAATACGTACGGTTAACTGTATTACCACCCTAGTGATAACTAACAGCCTTAAATCTAGCTTAAATACAGCTTAAATGCCTTAAATCCATTACTTAACTTAGGGGTGAAAAATAGTAGTAATGTTAGCTGTAATGACTTTTGGTGGGCACCCCTACAAATACCCTTGCTACTTGACATAGGGGTGGTCTTAGCATTCTAGGATAATGCTTTTGACGGGCTCCTCCGTAAGGATAAGTTAAATAAGCATAGTTATACGGAGGAGCCTGTCAATAGTCCTTGCGAAGAATGCTAAGACTAGAAGTGGAGTATTACAACCTCAGTATTTGAAAGTACAGTCTTATTAATCCTTTATCAGATACGTATAGATTATAGGAGTGCTACAGCAGCCCAGGATTGTTTCACAGGGGCCCTTTCAGAGGCAGCCTGACGATCATGTGACTTGAGATGTAGCTTGCTGTACTGATTGTGTTGGCTAGGCAACAGTGACTCTAGCGCCTTGGCATCTTCCGCAAGGACTATTGACAGGCTCCTCCGTACTGTTGCTGCTGTTTTTAAAGAGAAGAACTATCACGAGGTGGCTGGCTAGGACTTCATATATCAGCCCTAGTCTAGACTAACCTCCGGCCGCACCTTCAGCCGCACGTTTACACCCGGTTTAAACATAACTAGAGAGCCTCTCTGGCCATTAATCCAGTCTTCCTGACCCGGCAGTAACTCTAATTCAAAGTGGTACAGGAGGCGGCTCATAATTACCCGCATATCTGCATAGGCCAGGTTCTTGCCAGGACAGTCACGGACGCCGAAGCTAAATGGCTTCACCACCTCCTTCCTGTCGTGTGCGAAACGCGGGTCGTAGCGTGGGTGGTTAGGGCTCAGCCACTACAGGGTTAGGTAAGCTACGTTAGCTACAATCTAGAAATGAAAATAGAACACAAAGCTCTAGATCTGGGATGAAAGGCGGCTTAAATGAAGAGACGGTGGTCTAAAGTTAAGGGTTTACTTACGCGCTCAGGTTGGAACGAATCCGGGTCTGTGAAGTTGTGCTGGTTGCGATTTGTTCCTTGCGCATAAAAGTGGATAAGTGTCTGTACGTTGGAAAAGTCAAGTTAATTAATCGGCCTTTCCACAAGGTATTAAGGCGTTTAATACGTACGCCACGCGGCAACCAGTGCCCTTCGACTTTAGCACCAGGGCTAACGCGTGGGGTTATTGTCGCAGCGGGAGGATACATTCTCAGCGCCTCCTCAATAACAGCATTCAAGTATTCAAGGCGGCCTGCATTCGTAATAGTAATCTGATCTTTGTTGGTGAAGGCGGCGCAAATCTCCTTAGTAAGGGCATCCATCTTGTCAGGGTAGCGGCATAAAAGATAGACAATGCCTACTAGCGCTGTGCCTGTTGTCTCGCTCCCAGCAACGACTAGAATGGAGCACAAGGACTGAATCTCAGCATCGTTAAGGATTCTTTCGCCGTTCTTACCCTTGCGGAGTAGGTAAGTTGTGATGTCACGGCGTCCATCCTTGGGCTCGGCACCTAAAGCTATACGTGCCTTTGCCTTAAGCTGCCCCAACCTGAGATTATTAATTCCAGCTTCTTGCCCTGCGGCAAACTCCTTGGAACCAAGAATAAAGATCATTGGCCATTTGAGTAGAGGGTAATGCCATAAGAAACGTCGGTAAGAACTGCCTTTCAAGCCGCGAAAAAAGTTATGCACATAGCTTGTGTCGCCATCCAGGCTGTTGAAGCCATCAGCAAAGCATAAATCGCCAATGGTGTCGAAGGTAGTATAGTTAATCCAGTCGACAATATCTACCGTAGTGCCTGCTTTAGCAAGCTCTGTAAGCTTGTTAACAGTCTTATCAATATACTGGTTGATGATATGCTCTTGCTCGTGTAGCGCTGCAATACTGAATGCGGGACTCATATGGCGGCGTTGGCGTCGGTGATTCTCCCAGCTTGCCCCTACCAAGGCGTTATGGTCGTTAGGGAATGTATAGCCAGGGACTTTGCCGAACTCGCTATTGCCGCTGCTGCGAATCCCCCAAATTTGGGGCCAGGCAATGTGCCCCTCTACCATAAGTCGATTTGGGCCAATGCGGACAATCGGCCCGTACTTTCGATGGAGATCGACGGCGTAGGTTGCCATGTCCAGCCTGATGCTTGTCCGCCACTGGCAGAAGATATCGCAAGCTGCCAAATGCTTTGGACCAGGAATCTTGGCTAGAGGATGAAACCATAGGCGGTAGACAAGGATGATGAATATGGATGCAACTAGCTAATAGGCAATTAGTCTATCTATCGTGACTTTGTGCGGATTACGCCAGAACTTACCAAGACGAGGAAAGTGGCAACGACATTAAGAGCATTGTTATAGCCGCCTTTGACGGCGATAAATGGTAGGATGAGCATTGGAACCCGATGTCTTCAGTCGAGTATGCCGAAGATGAGAACGAGAACACGCACGATCAAGCAAGTGCTGTAAAAGTGGAGGGCTCGAAGGTATTATGTAGCAAGTGTTAGAGACAGGAAACGAAGCGAGACGAATAGCCATGATGAGCATCGGCGGCCCCCTAAGGGCCGATGGTTCCGGTTGCTCCAGTTTTGTTGTGGGGCAAGTGTTAGAGACAGGAAACGAAGCGAGACAAATAGCCATGATGAGCATCGGCGGCTTCTTCACAATACTCCGTACTTCCCAGCCCGAAGTTATGCGACCATTGCCCGCACTTTGACATACGTGGTTGGTTATGGTTACCGTTAAAGCGGGTATATGTCCGAGTCATGTCTGCCTCGCTTTTCGTCACTAAAAACAGTGAAAGCCGATCCCACATACTATAACACTCGGGGGATAAAAAAGACCGCCGGTTTTGAAGAACCTTATTTTATAGCCCTATTGCTTTTAGATACCAGAAAATACGTAAGATATATACTTTCATACACTTTGTAGGCTTTCTCGTATCACAAGGACTTACAAATGTACTTTTTTAACATGTAAAAAGCTGTATTGCCTATTACAGCAGCTGTAGTACTGGTGGTGAGGGTGGCTGTTGTGTAGGGGGAACCCGGCGGTCTTTTTGTCCCCCGAGTGTATAACTAATTTATTAGCGTTAGGTTTTATATTAAATGAAACAATAGTCTGCCGTAAGTAAATTACTAATTCGGGTGTTTCGGATGCAGTATGTCTGTAAGAAGAGGAATCTGTCGAGATCGGAGTTCAAGGTACTTCATATTAGTCACTATTAACTCCTGATATTATAAAGAGACGCCTATATGAAAAATATATATAATCTGGAGCATAAAACCCACTACATCTAGCTATCTAAGAGATGAGTAGATATCTCACTACCTAGAGCAAAAGACCGCACCACTGCACTCGAATCACGACTACTCTCGATTTTCACAAACAACTTGTACTTTTTAGTCCATCTCAAAAACAGGGCTGTTTGTTCGCACTTATAGCCAGCAACCCTCCACTCCGCACAGCGGGCAAAATGAGTCAACAGCTCATTACACACACCATCGATGATGCTCTGGCGCGAGAGCCTGATCGCGTTTGGGCTTCGTACGCCATCAGTAGCGACATTCAGAAAGATGGATTGCGCGATGTTACCATCGCTCAGTTGGCCAAAGCGGTCGACCGTCTGGCCTGGCATATCGACTCCACCATCGGCAAGAGCACTACTTTCGAAACGCTTGGCTACATTGGCCTCCCTGATGTCAGGCATATGATGCTTCTTCTGGCAGCTGTCAAGACTGGCTATAAGGTTCTTTTCTTCTCGCACTTCAACAGCGTGCCATTCAGCCTGAGCCTCTGCGAGAAGACGGATTGCAGCACACTTTTCTACTCAGAAGGAGTTGATGCCATTGTGAACCCCTTGTTACAGGCAAAGCCTATGAAGCAGGTTCTTGTGCCGAAATTGGACGATCTCCTGGTCGACAACGACTCTGAGCCCCTCAAGCCGTACCCTTATAACAGGTCCTTCACCCAAGGAATCGACGATCCAGTCACTGTGTTCCATACTTCCGGTACCACTGGCTTCCCAAAGCCTGTTGTCCATACGCAGAGGTCATTCTACGTTTACAGTAAATGGAACTTGGTACCGGATATTGACGGCAGGCCATCAGCCGACAGGCTGCTTCGCCAGACTCGCCGTACGCTTCTGACCATCCCAATGTACCATTCCGGTGGCATATTATATCCTTTTATGGAGGCGTTCTATCGGAATAAGTCCCTCGTGCTGTTCCCTCCTTTGTTAGGGCGTATCCCGTCGACCACGTTTGAACAGATGTTCCAGTACGCTGACTTTGACTGTTTGATCGGCGTCCCAGTCTACATGGAGATGATTGCGAAGTCTCCTCAGATGCTACAATCCCTGGCGGATAAGGTCGCTGTTATAATCTTTATCGGCGGCGCCCTCAGTTCACAAATCGGAAGCGAGCTGTCTTCCAGAGCCAGGGTTCTCAGCCAGTACGGAACCTCGGAATCGGGCCCTGTGTTTAATCACGTCACGGATCCCCAAGACTGGGACTGGCTCTGTATAAACGAGGAGAGGGGTGGACTCAGGTGGGACCCGTACAAGGTGCAGGGGCTTGACAACGTCTACGAACTGTCTTTCATCAGGACTCCCCAAACGGAAAAGATTCACCACGCTTGGTGGCACACCGACTGCCGCGACGTGTTCCACACTAACGACCTCTTCATTAAACACCCCACAAAGAAGCATCACTGGAAGTTCTACGCACGAAAAGACGACATGATAGTCACCAAATTTGCGTGGAACGTTAACCCAGCCTTTGTGGAGCATATAATTGGGCAGCATCCGGCCATTAAGCACGTTGTTGTTGGCGGCATGGGTAGAATGCACATCTGTGCCCTCTTTGAACTTGTCGACCCCGACGCCGCTCCCGCCGATGAGGTGCTTCAGAATATCATCCGACCCTTGGTGCAAAAGTCCAACGCCATCGCGGATCAGGGCGGCCAGCTGGCTATGGAGAGAGTACTGCTAAGTCATAAGGACAAGCCCTTTCTCCTGGCTGGCAAAGTCAATGTCCAGAGAGCGGCGACCCTCAAGCTGTATGAGAAGGAGATTGAAGATATGTATGCCCGTCTGGGAGAGGACTAAGGTTCTAAAACTCGGCAGGCGAAACAGCTGTTCATATACTGAGGGTCTATGGCGACATGCCACGTATGATCCAAGGAAAAAGACCCCTATAACACTGCTCACTAGGGGGCACAATGTTGGAATAATTTGCCAACTGAAATTACTCGACTCAAACGTGGCCTGCAACTGTGATTTAAAAACTGTTTCCCCGTATGTAGCAGGTATTGAAGTTAGCATGTTAATCAGATCGGGCTATAAGCCTAAGCTGGCCGTATATGTGCTAAGACAAATGACGAATACATTTCTCAGGCGGATTTCGCCACCCAAAACAGCAAAGTCCAATAGCACGTGTATTTTTACCCCCTAGACAGAGACTTAAAGAAGAATATAAAGTATAATATAATATAAAAATAGAATACATATATAATACAGAATAATATAGAGTAAATATATTTATACTATATTATATTACAAAAGAAATATATATACTTATATTATAACTATATTATATTTTATATTTAATATAATAATATAAGGTAGAAAAGAGATATTAAAGTTAAATTATTAAATATAGCAGAATTACACGTGAATTAGCCGGCAAATACACAGTTGCCCTACAGCAAATTGTTAGGGAATAGGCAGTAAATTAGCCCTACTTCTAATAGTAACTTTACTAATAATATCGCTAGGATTAGCTAGGGATTTCCTAACTAAGAAATAAGGGTTTTTCCCTATTTCTATAGTAATTTACTATAAATATAGAACATATAATAGAATTAATTAAGTAACTATTATAATCCTTACTATTAAATAATTAATAGTCTAATACGTACGTCTATAATAACTAATATACCTATCTACTAATTAAATACTATTATAATAATTAATAAGAACTATAATAATAAGGTAACTATCTTATAATTATATAGTAATTAGTTTATATAGCTTAACGCTATTTAAGTAAAAGTAAAGTGTTATAATCTTTAGAAGTATATTAACCTAGAGGTTATAGTAGCAGACTAATTAATCCTTAAGATATATCTAAAGAAACTAATAAAGCTGCTTATAACGTAATATTTATACGCCTTAACTAAGGATAAGCTTACTGCTTACTAAGAGGTTACTATAGCTATAGTAATTACTAAGATATCTTAGTAAGTAACTATATAGCTATATATAGTAAGAAGTAAGGCTATTATAGCTATACCTAATAGGCTTATATATAAAACTAAATATATAATAACACTAGATAATCTTAGCCTATATAATCTTATATACTTAAATAGCTAGATAAGCTACTATTATAAGGAAGTACATAAGTATACTACTTAGTAAAAGGACGTTAAAGATATAGCTAACGTAGTTAAATATACTATATCTATAGATCTTTAAGAAAGATATTATAAATCTAATAAATTATTAGCTAAATAGCTTAATAAGCTTAGTGTAGTAGTAAAAATAATAAAAGAAGAGTATATAAAGTACGTTTATAATAAATAAAATAAAGTGTTAGTAAAAGCCTAGTAAAAGGCCTTAACTACTAAGAAAAATCTTACTATATAGCTTAATAAATAGAATACAGCCTATAGTAAATTAGTATAAGTTAATTTACCTAACTACTAATAGCTATTAATTTAGTTTAATAACCTTATTACTACTTTATAAAGTAGTTTACTTAGCTTCTAGCTAGATTTATATATAGTAACTAGTAAAATAATAAGTAACTAGAATAATCTTAACTAGTAGTCTCTCTATAAGATAGCGCTAGAGAGGGTTAAAGCCTTTACTAATAACTTACTGCACTATAGCTAAGTAGGCTGTAGCGTATTTAGCCTAACTAAAAGTAATAGTAATAATAACCTAACGTATAGTAAAGACGTAGTAAAAGAGAATAAATTAACTAATAAGAGATATTACTATTAATAAAGTATAAGTAAAAAGGTAGAGTGCCTTATATACTTTAATCTCTATTTATTATAACTTTATTACTTTATAAATAAGTTATAAAGGCCTAATAATTAGTAGGTAAATATATAACGTTAGTAATAAATTAATAAGTATATAATAAGTAATCTTAACCTTACTAACTAAGTATAAAGAATTAAGGCTAAGTTATATTAACTATATAGTAAATACTATATAAAGATAGCCTTTTATACTACTTTATAAGGCTATAAGCTAGGTAATTTAGCCTTACTTAATTTAAGTATTACTAACTATATATTTAACTATATATTATAGTTTATTATATTAGTAGTAGCCCTAGTTAGTAACTATATTTAGGCTAGTACTACTTAAGTTATAATTAAAGGATATAGTACTATAGAGATTATTCTAAAAGGCGCTAATAGCTTACTAACTAAGCTTTATATATATAACGTAATATATTATAGCGTATTTACTATATTACTTATTTCTTTTATAAGACTATACTAATAAGGTATATAGTAAGATATAAGCCTAGGTAATAATTACTTAAGGCGTATAGACTATAGTCTTATAGGCTATATTAAGGAATAAAGTAACTAATAAGTACTTAAATATTATAAGTAATATAGCTATAGCTAAGAAAGTTAAGGCGCTTTTACTATATATTCTACTAATAATTTACTACTAACCTTATAAAAAAGAAATAAATATATAACGCTAATATAGTAATAACTACTTTATAGTAATATAATAATATAGTATAAGTGTCTTAGCTACCTAAGTGCTAAGGCTTTATAAAGGATTATAAATACTACTTATAGAGTGTGTTTAACCTAAGTTAACACTATAATAATATAAAACTATAATTTATATAGTCTTAGTAAAATAAGGAGGTAGATTTACTACTAGCCTTATAAATTAATTATAAATATAGCGCTAGGTAATTAACTAGCGCTAGACTTTTATAATCTTAAATAAGGCTATATAGGATACTACTTAGTAATAATAGTCTTAAATTAAGTAACTAGCCTTATATAGGATTTCTACTTATATAGCTACTACTAAGATACTATTAAATTAATAATAAGGGGCTTCCTTATAATACTAAAAACTAAATATTTAATTACACTAAAAGTTATTAAAGCTAACTAAGAAATCCTACGCCTTAGGCAAGTTATAGATACGCTCTTTAATTATAAGACCCTTATTAAACTATTAGTAGTAAATACCTAGGCTTAAAATAGAGGCGCTAAGTAAATTACTATAATTATTAAACTTAAGGTATAATATATATAAATATTTATATAAAATTACCTAATATCCTATAGCCTAAAATTATAACTATAGCTATCTATTTTTATAATTAAATACTATTAGTAGCTTAGAGGTAGAAATTACTATATTTAATATTTTACTTATATTTTATACTTAGTAAGTATACTAAGCCTTTACTAATAGTAAAGCTAGATCTTTTATATTTATAAGCCTATAGATACTAAGCGTATATACTAATAGCAGACGTATAACTATTATAAAACTACTAGTAAAAGCTTACTACTTATATATAGATTAGATTTCTTATTAGATATATATCTAGTAATTTATATTACGTCTAGTATCTAGTGTAAAATAAGGTCTTTACTATACGTAACGTAATATTTAATAACAAATAACTCTTTAATAGATTAATAAATAAATTATTAGATAAGCTTTATAAAGCTAACCTTATAGTAATTTAATAATATATTAACTAGCTAATAGCAGCTAGTAATTAATCCCCTTTACATAAAAAAGCTAATAAGGAAATAAATAAAGTAACTAAGCATACTAATATTACTTTACTAGGCACTTAGTAATTAGGTAACACACTAGAATATCTATATAAGTAGGTAAAGTTTACGCTTCTTCTTACTTTACTACTATTCCTACTAAGCGCCTTTTTTATAGCCTTTATAAATATTAATATAGGGGGTAGTAAAATAAGAACTAATAGCTTTAAATTAATTAATTTAATAGCTAATAGCTAAATAATTACTAATAGTAAAATAATTAATAAGTAAATACCTAAACTAATAGCTAATAGCTTATTAATTAATTTATTAATAGCTAATAGCCTATAAGCTAGTAACTTACTAAGAACTAATAGTTTTAAAATAATAATAATAGTAATCCCCTATACCTTATCTTATCCCTATATAATTAGTTTATAAGACGTTACTAAGTGTAAAAAGGTATTAAATTCCTAAGTAACTATAGCTAGCCTATTAAGTAATCTCTAGCTAGTAGTAACCTTACTTAAAGACGTTATAAAAGGATATTATTTTACTATATATATAGGTAGTTAGATTACACTAAGGACTTTATTTAAAGCTACTTTCCTTATAAGGCTTACTTTATAGTAAAAGATTATAGACTATATATAAGGTAGCTTATAAGTAATAATATAGTTTAGTATATTATAAAGTTAACTAATACGTAAAAATTACTACTTTTAGCTAAAGTGCACCTAAGGCTACTTAATTAACTATATAACGCCTAATAAGTATAATAATTATAAAGACGTTACTAGTAAATTACTAGTATATAATAAAGGCGTTACTAGACCTTATAGGCTAATAGGTATATATTAAAAGTTACTATACCCTTTACTAATCTATAGATAGTAAAAG